GCAGGCACAAAAGGGATATGACGCCATCAACAGGCGACCGGTGAAAGGCAGCACTACCTGAATAAAATGACAGATTTCTCAGTTTGAACAGTGTTGGAAACATTTCTACAAAATACATAACATAGGTCTAGTGTTTATAGAAATGTGGAAATGTTTAGCTTTCAAAAGTGTGTGCTCAACAGACAGACAGACAGACAGAATTTGTGTGTTAAACAGTCTGAGGAGGAGAAGGAAGAGGAGGAGGAGGAGGCCTTTTTGTAATTGAACTGCTGCCCATTAAAATGTCTGTGCCAACCAGTGTGGCAGTCTGGCCAGTAGGAGGGATTTGTTGACCTAACTGTAGGACAGACAGACAGATGGAGCGTTTCTCAGCATCCTGAGACACACCGGCTCACTCCGGACGTCCTCCGAATGTCCTGTTCCCTTTTTGTCAATGGTCAGTGATGTGGTGACGTTCCCGCTGTTGACATTCCTCTCTTGTTGTCTCGAGCCTGGAGGCTTTGGTGTTTGTTAAGCTGCAGAACATCGCTCCCTCTCTCTCTCCCTCCCTCCGCTATCAATTATATTAACAGCCGCCTGAAGCTTCCTCCTAGCATGTTGCTCCATTTTGTGACAGGAAAGCTTTCTGCTCTTACTTTATGGCCTCCTGCTACATTATTGCTCTGCACTAGTAATGGAGCTCACTCTCTATTCTACTCCAGGCTTCGCCCCGCTTTCCAATTTGTCTTCCCAACACTAGACACTTTCTGGTGACAATGAAGTATTTTTATGGCCGTGCTGATGTCATCACATTTCTGTTTGTCCCTCATCTCCCCGGGGCACAGCTTACAGCAAAAATTAATTATACAACACAATGGACAGGATGGATGTTCTGCACTCAACTTGAGGCCAATTTGCCCCGACATGACTTGGCTTATGTTTTCAGCTCGCTATACAAGTGGAGATGATCTGCCAGCAGCATCCTTCAACAATTGTGTTTCCCCCTGCTTTTCTTCCACTCATGTTAATTATGCATTACCTCTAAGAAGCACGTGGAGTCAAGTGGTATGTCACCTTTGATTGGGGCCAAATATAGCACATCAAGCACACTAATTGTTAGTCATATTCCTATGCATTGTATAACCACGCACCATGTGAATCCGCCGGAGAACCGCGGCCTTAAATCATTCATTGATTTAACTGAACAGCTCAGGCAGAAGTACGTTGGATAGGCAGTGCTCATGCATACAGCCCCCGGCTTTAAGCTTCCCACAGGGAGCGACTGGTGTTGCACTTCTCCGTGTGTTTGACCTGCTCAATTGAAGGTTTTTTTCTGTACCTTTAAAATATTTAGTCAAATCTTTTTTGAAGGCATTTTTTTTCACAGTAAAGATTATGTTTATAGGATGCGTTCACATTTGTTCAAGTCTGTCTTTATATTGTTAAAACCATGTGTGTATTTAATAATCTGTGCAATTATCTCTATGCAACGTTCATATCTGTGTATAAAAAGATGTACAGTTTTATTTTTCTATTTTAGGTATATCTTGTATTTTTCTCCTTTATTTTATCTTATCCATTGTGTTGTATCTTGAGCTGCTGTAACAAGGGAAATTCCCCTCTGTGGGATCAATAAAATGTATCTTACAACAAAAATCACATGTCCTCATGTACACTGAAATAGTTATTGATTGCTGTGATCATTCCTCCTGTTCATACATGGCCCTGAAATGATCTCCTCCTCATGTGACTTCAGTGTAAGAGATAGGGACAACATCTACAGTCCTCTGTTCAAACATGCATTCTGTAGCTTAGCAGGAGTTAATATGAGGCTTCAGTAGGCTGATTTAGTGAAATTCAGTGATATCTTCTTTGATTTTGGGGTCTGACACCGAATTTAAAGGAAACAAATCACAGATTATTGATATGGCAGCTGATATAGTGAATTTCTGAGCTAGAATGAAAATAAACTTTTTCTGTGTTGACAATGCAAAGGCACTCAGACGTTCTTAAACAAATAACTTTATTAAAGAAGATTTACGTTAAATATTCTTTAACATGTTAAATAATTGAACATTTACATTGCCAACCAGTTCTAGCTGACATTGCTGAGAGCTGCTTCTTCTCTCTTACACTGTTTGCCACAGTATTATAATGGATGAACTCTGACACCAATATATTCAATATATTACCACAAGCCTTTTTTTCTGCATTATGTATCAGGAAAGAAAAATATTTTTATATTGGCTCCTATAAGACAACAAATACACAGATGCTGAGACGATAACGTTATGAAACCAATATGTCTGTGATAGGCTCTTCTATCTTCTAAACACATTTGCAGTGATTAAAACACTCTTAGTATTGTTTAAGACTTTAAAAAGGTAACATATCATTTAATATAATATAAGATATGATTAAGTCATATGTTTCTCAAGGACCTTTGACCATGTACACACACACACACACATTCACACACACACGCACACGTTTGCACAGCTATCCTTGTTAGGACACTGACCTCATTCACTGTGGACAGCCCAACCCAACCCCTGACTACGGTGGCCCTGAGGTGCAAATCACAACAGCAACACACACAGCCAGAATTGTTTATTTTTGTACTTTTTCAATAAAGCATTAAAACGACCTTCGCGCATAATAATCGACGAAAATGTTTGTTCAGGTGTACAATAGGAAGATGCACACGCGGGCGCACGACATGCGACGTTAAAAACTGTCAAGCCTCTCAGAAGAATTACGGTCACACATAGACCATCCACCCGGCAGCGCGGCAGCCCTGGATCAACCCGATAAGCCTCAAAAACCGGGAAATCCCTTTGTCATTTCCGACGAAAATGTAAATCAAGAAAAACGAAGGATACAAGAGCAGATAAGACTTTATCTGGTGGAGGGGGGGGTTGACAATGTTCCCAGGAACCAAGAGAGAAGGCTAAGCAGATCACCCATGAATTCTAAAAATACTTCACATTCAAAATATAGATGCCCAAAACAGCCGCTTGGAAACTACACTACATTTAAATACATAACAATAATGATGTGTGTGTTTATGTGCGGTGCCTTTTTCTTACTAGTTGGGCGACCCTTTCTGGTGTAACCGCACCTTGACCTTGACAAGATCAGCTGTTCCTTGATGCGGCCGACCAAGAGACTGGTTTTAAATGCAGAACGTTATTTCTGAAGGTCTTTTCTGAGGGTCACGGTATGGTGGCCTGAAGGTGCAAATCACAACAGCAAAATCGAGAAAACATAACCAACCGCAAGAAGAAGAAGAACACAACACCAAAAAGAGAAACACAAACACAAAAAGAGAAAAACACCAACGCAAATCAGAACCAACCACGCAAACGACCATAATCAAACCGGAAAACGGTAGTACCCTCCGGGCGAGCGATGTAAATCGTGTCGCTGATCTCGACATAAAGACACTGGTCCACTCTTTCTTTTGAAAAACCGGAAGACCAACACCACCAGACCTTTTTAACTTTTTTTATTTTTTATTTAATGCTTTATTGAAAAAGTAACTAAAAATCAACAATGCTTCTGGCTGTGTGTGTTGCTGTCTGTGATTTGCACCTCAGGGCCACCGTGAGTCCAGGGGTTTGGGTTTGGCTTCCACAGTGAATGAGGTCAGTGTCTAAAAGGTGCTTGTGCAAACGTGTGCGTGTGTGTTGATGTGTGTGTTTTGTGGACATGGTAAAGGTTTGAGCAAACATATGATTAATCATATCTTATACTTATATTAAATATATGTTACCTTTTTAAAGTCTTAAACAATACTAAAGTGTTTTGAATCACTGCAAAATGTGTTTAGAAGATACGAAGAGCCTATCACACGACTATTGGTTTCATAACGTTATCGTCTCCAGCATCTGTGTATTTGTTGTCTTACTCAGGAGCCATATAAAAATATGTTTTCTTTCCTGATACATAATGCAGAAAAAAAGCTTGTGTAAATTATATTTGAATATATTGGTGTCAGAGTTCATCCATTATAATACTGTGCAAACGTGTAAGAGAGAAGAAGCAGCTCTCAGGAATGTCAGCCTAGAACTGGGTTGGCAATGTA